ATTTACTACTGTGCGGTGCAAATGGTTAACACGCTTGGCTGCTAACTGAAATGTTAGAGGTTTGAGTCCACCCAGAAGCACCTCAAAGAAAGTCCTGGTGACCTACTTCTGAAAAATCAGCCTTTGAAGACCCTGTGTAGCACAGTTCTACTCTGACACACATGGGGCGCGATGAGTCAGAGATGACTGGATGGCAAATGGTTTAATGACAGCAACTGCTGGTGGCACTCCATGGAGACTAATAAAATCACAGATGCTGGGGGAAAATGGATGGGCTGATTTGTGAGGAGAAACACCTTTGAGATTACAGAATATCGTATGACAAAGTGAAAAGCATTGTTGTTTTAGTTATCTATTGCTTGTATAACAGGAATACCACAAGTGGATGGCTTTAACAAAGAGAAATTTATTCTCTCACAGTCTAGGAAGCTACAAGCCCAAATTCAGAGTGCCAGCTCTAGGGAAAACCTTTCTCTCTCTGTCATTTCTGGAGAAAGGTCCTTGTCACCTATCTTGCCTTGGTCTAGGAGTTCCTCTGTGCAGGAACTCAGGCCCAAAGGACGGGATCTGCTCCCTGTGCTGCTTTCTTGGTGGTATGAGGTCCCCGACTCTCTGCTCATTTCTCTTTCCTCTTATCTCTTGTAAGATAAAAACTGATGCAGGCCACGCCCCAGGGAAACTCCCTTTACATTGGATCAGGGATATGACCTGAGTAAGGGTGTTACACCCCACCCTAATCTTCTTTAACATACTGTAATCTTGCCTCATTAACCACAGACAGAGATTAGGGTTTACGACACTTAGGAAAATTACATCAATCACAAAATGGAGGACAACCACACAATACTGGGAATCATGGCATAACCAAGTTGACACATATTTGGGGGGACACAATTCAATCCATAACAATTGTCTTGCTTCAGAATTTCTGACTACCCTTGGAAAACCAAACCTGTAGAATTGCCAAAGGATGGTTTGACTCTTTGGCAAGAAAACAAGTTTTTTAATACATTAGGATTCAGAGGAAAGTATGTAGATGCCAATACATACTTTGAACTAATTTTTTAGGAAATTAGCAATCATTGAAGAGGAAGGATACCATTTGAGAAAGTTATTTTAGTTAATGTAACAGGGAACAAGGGATCTGAGAAGGGGTAGGAGGAGTGGAAGGAGGAGGAAGGGAAGAAAACTGTCATTCCCTCAGGATTTGCCAACTATGATTGACAAATTTGAGACATTTTTGCAAGTCAAATAAGCAAGGCCAACTTTTTTGAAACAGTTATTCTGGATTTTGAAAACAGCTTGAATGCCTTCAGAATAGTGAAAAAATGCCTCCGCTTGTAAAGGAAAGATTTATTAGAAAAAGAATGAGGTGTTTCAATTCAAATTTATTTAGACTCTTATTTGAAGAAACCATAGCCATTCCAGTTAGGCAGATAAGAGTCTACCCAAATGAAGATTTATAACTTAGCTTTTATATTGGTTAATTTTTAAACGAATAAAAATACTAGTAAAAGCATATATTTATGTTTATTCTTCGTGGATTGGTTTTGTTGTTGTTATCATTTGAGATGAGCTGCTTCTACTAAAAATAAATTGTCTAGAAACTCATCATGCCAAAAATTGGGGATCCATTCTAATTTAGCTTCATGGAAGCATAGTTTCTTCTTTGTTCTGATTTTGTTTTTGTTTTTGTTTTTGTTTTTGGTTGAGTAGGGGCAGGAGAATTGGAGGAGCTGAAATTGTGGAATCAAGCAGGGCTCAATCATAAAGGGCCTTTTATGCCCTGCTAAGGCACTTTGACTTTATCCAAGGACAATTGGGAGCCATATGGGGTCTTAAGTAGAGAAGAGACACAAGAATGTTCATGATATAAAGATATTCTGTGATTGTGGTTTGAACACTGAATTGGATGGAAGGACAAAACTAGAGAGAGGCAGACAGTTTAGGGGACTTGTGCAGTAATTCAGGAGAGAGTTAATGGGAATCTGAAGGAGGCGGTAGTTAATGGATGGATTGTAGGCCCACAACAGAGGCAGCAATGGCATGACTTGGTGATTCCTTGCACGGATGCTGAGAGGAAGATGTAAGAGTCAGGGATGATTCCCAGATTTCCTTTTTTGGCAACTGGGTGAAGAGTGGTATCATTCACTGGGGTAGACAATACAGGAAAAAGAGGAGCAGGAGTTTTATTGGGTAAGATGATAAGTTTGGTTTCGGATTTGTCATGAGGCTAACAGGCGGTTGAATCTCTGGGACTGGAGCTCCAGGATTGAATCCCAATTTGAGATATAGATTTTACATATGTATGTGCAATCATGATACATGAAGCCATGGAGTGTGCATCATTGCCCATAGGGGTTGCAGGAATGAGATTATTTCTGTGGACAGGACTTTGAGGGGAACACTGAGATTTAAGAAATAGGCAGAAGAAGACCCCATGAACAAGAGCAAGGAGTATTTTTAAGAGTAGGAGGGTAGCAGAATGTATTGTCAGAAAAGCCAGGATATGAAAGCATTTCACGCGGGAGAGACTGAGCAATAGAATCAGTTACTAAAGTTCAATTAAGTAAGGACTAAAAAGGGAAGAGAGTCGCTGGGTGACGCAAATGGTTAAGCTCTTGACTACTAGCTTAAAGGTTGGTGATTTGAACCTACCCCGAGGTACCTGGAAAAACAGACTTGGCAGTCTGCTTCTGAAAGGTCACAGCCTTGAAAACCCTATGGAGCAGTTTTACTCTGTACATATGGGGTTGCCACGAGTCAGAATCAACCTGAAGGCAACTACCAACAACAACAACAAAATGAGTAGATGGGATTTAGCAGCATGGAAGTCATTGAAGTTCAGAGCGACTATGGTTTCTGTGAGATAATGGAGATAGAAATCAATGGAGGGAGGAGATGGAGACAAATGGTGAGTATGGATGATTTTTTTTTTGTCTAAGAAAATTACAGGAATTCACATAACATAGTATTTTTTATTTTTTTAAAAAATTAAGGTCTAAGTCAGCTATCATAAAACTAACCATGCTAAAGTAAACAATTTAGCATTTAGGACATTCACAATGCTGTGCACCCACTTCTATCTAGATCTAAAATATTTTTATCACCCCCAAAAGGAAACCCCACACCCATCAAGCAGCTGCTTTCCATCTCTGGCTCCCCCCAGCCCCTGACGCCCACCAGATCTGCTTCTGTCTCTATGGATTTACCGATTCCAGATATTTCACATAAATGGAATCATACAAGGTGACTTTTTGGGTCTGCCTTCTTTCACGTAGCATCGTGTTTTCGAGGTTCATTCACATTATAGCAGGTATCAGTACTTCATTCTCTTTTATGGTGAATACTATCCCATTGTGTGTATACCACAATTTGTTTATCTAGTTAGCTGTTGGTGGACATTTGGGCTGTTTCCACCTGTTGGCTGTTGTGGATAGGGCTGCTATGAACACTAGTTTAGAGGCTTTGTTTGAATATCTGTCTTCAGTTCTTTTGGATATATACCTAAGAGTGGAAGTACTGAAGCCTAACATAGTTAGGTTGCATTATACTTTTTATATAATCCAACTGAGAATCCAAACGAAGGATTGTACATACAGTCTGTTGTGGTACTTTACATTCTCTTTCAGATGGAATTGGTGAATGAATCATCCATTAATGAAATAGAGCATCCAGAGATCATATATAAATATATACACACACATATGTAAATGTATAAGCACCTATATGTGTGTATATATGTATGTGTATATGTATATATATATATATTTTTTTTTTTAAGAAGGAAGTACCCATTAGAATTGCTTTTTGAGTTATAAGAGGTGGTGGGTTTGGATAAATTGACTCATGTCGGAGAGGGAAGATGTGCATAGGGCTGGATGTTTCAGAGTTTAATTTTTTTGAAGAGAAGGGTACAGTTGCACTTTAGTTGGCAATAAGGGAAACAGAGACATAGACTGATGAAGAGGACTGAGAGCACCCATGGCACTAATTTAATAGCTAGCAGAAGCGACGGCAACTCACAAGAACAGACTTTTAAAATTAAGATTGTATTTTCAAAATCCATTTTTACTTCTCTCTCAATAACCACTGACTCATTTATGTTTAATCTTGTGGATTGTATCTCCCCACTCAGAGATACCAGTGTGGATGAAAGAAGAATTGAGTTCCGTCCGCGATAAATTATCTAAACTCCTTGTGGCTCAGTTAAATTTTATCCATAAAGTGTAGAAAACAAATTCTTAGAGAAGTGGGACAAGGAATATGTTTTCTATAACATTGTTTGTGATTTAAAGTGACATTTATGTTATGTCTTCAAAGTGCCCATCTTTTTCTGTAGTCTTTCCTTTGTAGAAAGAGCTCCCAGTGATGGTTCTGGAACTGAGATTCTCTGAGATTTGGGCTTGTGATATAATCCCCTAGGCACTGTCTGCAGAGTTGGGAAGGGAAATAATGGTTGTTGAGTGTGCCTCTTCAGTGCTTTATTCAAGTGAACTCGTTTAAGGCTTATAACAACCAGTAAGTGATAGATCCATAACATGAACCTAGATCTGCTAACTCCAAAGTCAGAGCTTTGTCCACCAAATCATGAGTGCTAATTATGGTTTGCCTTATATGCTTATAGTTTACTAGGATAGTGTGTTGAGATAGTCTGCTGTGGATGCCTGCAGACTCAGCAGGAAATAGGGCTCTGATGGGTTAGCAATGTTTTCCACAAAGACAGGAAGGGGCTAGTGCTAGGCCTGCCGTATGCTGGCCATCTTTGAGTTGTGTTGTACCATTGGTCATGGAAAGATGTTGGGTGACATGTCGGGAGGATATTAATTTCTCTCATAAACTGTATCTGGGATGATCCAGTGGTTATGCTGATTTAGGGAGGTATCTTTTGACTCTTTCTCCTTTCAGTTATACCATCTCTATTTGATGTTTGTGATTTCAATAAACCAGTGCCTAGGTTTGACCCATTTGTTCATACTTGTCGTATGTGTATGTTTCAGGCAGAGAAAGCTGATGGATTTGTCAACCTGTCTGACTTCACTGTGGAAAGAGCAAGTGAATGCAAGAAAAAGCAGTAAGTTGTCTATCATTCTTCCCACAGAAATCTCTGATTCAGGACACTATCCCTCCATAATGTTCTGGAATTTAACGACATAGCACCCAAAATGTCTGAGAAGTAGAATATTGTGGTCTGATGTCCTAAATAGTAATAAGAGCATTTAACCTCTTGTTTTCTGGGATTTCATTTTGCGGAGCAGATGGGTTTTTAAAACCCCATGAATCCCTGGCATGGGTCGTGTTGACATCTGTGTAACGGAATAATAAACAAGCTTACATCCAGAACTGGCAGAGAAGTCAGATGTCAAGGTCGTGTCCTTGTTAGGTATAGAAGTCATGGTTAAAGAGGACTCACCAGAGTTAAGTAGATGTGAGAGTAAGGCCAGTTTTTTTTTTTTTTACTTTTTTTAAGTTCATTGAATTGTCAGTATCTCACTTATGACTGAATCCTGTGAGATGTTATAGACTTGGGGATTACACCTGATGTTATTTAAGTCCAAAGGATTTGAGCACTGTCAGGGATCCAAGAAGTCACCAGGCCAGGGTCCTCATTTTATAAGAGGAGGGGACAGCCCAGGGAGGCTGTGAGCCACCTAGAGTCACAGCTTATAGGTCTAGATCCAGGTGTCTGGACTCCCAGTCAGGTGTTCTTCCCATGATAGCCTCCAGCTGTATCTACATGTGGAACCTCTCCACTTTTTTCTTCTTCTGTCTTCTGCCTTTAGCAACTTTCCCAGTCTTACCACAAAGGAGCATTTCCCTATTGACCTATGTTACTAGCTGCAACAATTGATTAGTTTTTCTTTTTTTGTAAGAAAACTCATAAACTGGTGTTAGCTTTGACTCTTTGCCACTCTGGTGTAGCTCCATATGTCCAGAGATATAAGGGGTTGTGCTGATCTTTGTGGTTTTTGACTAAAGCTGTTTATTAACCAGCAGGCCTTCTGGTGTAAATGGTAAGGTGGAAGCAGAAACTTTAACATCTTTATTGATTATTATCTTCAATGTTTTATACTTTTATTTTAAGTTAAAACCTACCTTATAGTTTTTCTTGACTATTAAAGGGTGCCCTGGATAAAGTTTCTCAGGCGCTGTCATGGTGTGGAATTTTATCCCTGCTTATTTTCCTGTAAATAAAATCCTGGTATATGTTAGATTGAATTGGAATAAATGCTTTGATTGAAGGAGTTGATCTGAGTATTTTGAATACATTTTCATCTGTTGGATTTTTATAGCAAAGCAGTCAGCAAGTGAAAATAAAAAGGATGTGGCTGTATGTTTAAAATGGAAATTACTGACCAGCCAAGACTTAGTCTCGCTCTGGATGTCCTGGTGTATATGAAATAGGGATTGGACAATAGGCATTTAATATGACTATATTATATTTTTGTAAATTTATAAAGAAAACAGAACTCACAATGCTAATAATTGACTGCTATACTTTCATACCTACTAACTACTGCAAACTCTTTAATTTCTTATGTGTCTGTGTTTTTCCCCTTCAAGCGCTTTTAAGATCAGCCATCCAGAGATCAAGACCTTTTATTTTGCAGCTGAGAACCTGCAGGAAATGAATGTGTAAGTAAAGAAAATAGCTAAATCCAGTCTTTATGGGAATAGACTTACTTTGGTCAGGTATTGGAACTTTAGGCATAGATTCATTATCGGTTATTGTTGTGTTTATTTTTGTTACTTTAAGCATTCACCTCTTTGTGGTTGTTATTAGGTTGTTGTTCATGTTGGTTCTGACTCACAGCGACCCAATAGGACAGAGTAGAACTACCCCATAGGGTTTCCTAGGCTGTAATCTTTATGGGAGTAGATTGCCAGGTCTTTTCTCCTACATTGCTGCTGGTGGGTTCAAACCTCCAACCTTTTGATTAATAGCCGAGCGCTGATCCATTGTGCCACCAGGAATTTTTTTTCATCTCTTTAGCAGTTATAAAGTCTTTCTGCTTGCTTTCTTCTGTGGTATTTGGAAGCATGTTGGAGAACCACACATATCAAAATAGGTATTTTAGGAAGAATTCATGAGATTCTTCTGAAGGAACCGCTTAGTTGAGAAAGGAATAGACAGAAGTCATTATAGGAAAATATTAAAATGAGAATCAGCATTACAAAGAAAGGGGCTTGAAAGTATTATGTAGTCAATTTCTCGGCTTTCAGAATCCTGCATGCAAAATCTCTTAGTTATGTGCTGTGTGATTATCATGGTGAGTCATGTGTTTATCACCTCTCCATGGACCATCTTCACCATTCTGCTTGCTCAGAGTCTATCTGACTTGAACTTTAATGTCTCAAACTCCATTTCCAGTTTACACTGTTCAAATAAGTGGGATCGATGCCTGGAGAAGTGGGATATATACACCAGCCCTATTCCATCCCCTAATGCCTTAGATTAAGCTGTGATCACAATGGCTGTTACTTGAATGGGGTTATATTTGAAGTACAGATTTGAGGCATCAGAGAGCAGTCTATTTAGTCTAAGCCCTACTCTCAGACTTCTCAGTATCTCTTATTATCTTCACATAATCAATTAAAAATATGTTTACTGAACACCTATTATGTGCCCAGCATTGCAGCAGATGCTGGGATAATAGCAATGAAAAATACAGGCATAATTCCTCCTTTCATAGAACTTACCTTTTAACCTATATTATTAACTTATACATAATGATTTTCACACCTGTCTGCTTTATACAGCTTCTCTTTCCTCTGCCTTCTTGCTCTAAAAACTCGAAGAAAAAGGAAACTGCCTCTTGTTAAGCACGCACACACAGGAACACACACACACACTTTTTTTTTGTTTACAGGATATCCTGTCCGCAGCCTTGCCTAGCTAGAAGCATTCTTTTCTGTCCCCTCCACTTATCTCCCGGCCACGACCCTTCAGATGAGGGCAGAATGACTTTTTTCCACAGAAAGTTGGGAAACTCTGTGTTAGAAGTAACAAGAGAAGGAGTTGACAAGTACATCTTACAAACAAGTCTTTGATTTACTTGGACAAAGAGGAGAGTTCTTTCTACACTTTTTCTGACTTGGGCTTTTTTTCTTCTGGTTCTCGAGGTCTGAGAAAAGCAAGAGCTGATACACAAAAGCAGAGATTTAAGAAACTTTAAAGCTCTTTATCTTTTTCTTTAATTTATTAACTGCTTATAAATCTGTTCATTGATTCATTGGTTCATTCATTCATTCATCTATGTATTAGGTAACCTATTGATTAGTGTGCCTGGGTGGTGCAGTGGTTAAGAGCTTCGCTGCTAACCAAATGGTTGGCAGTTCGAATCCACCAGCCGCTCCTTGGAAACCCTATAGGGCAGTTCTCTGCTGTCAGAATGAAGTTGATGGCAATGGGTTTGGTTTTCCTGGGTAATGCTAAAGGTTAATGCTGTTGGCTGCTAACTGAAAGGTTGGGGGTTTGAGTCCACCCAGAGGCACCTTGGAAAAAAGGCCTCATGTACTTCCAAAAAATCAACCATTGAAAATACTGTGGAGCATGGTTCTACTCTGACACACATGGGCTCACCATGAGTTGGAGTCTATTCTATTGCAACTGTGTATGTGTGTGTTTTTTTAATTGATTAACACACCCTGGTTATGTAAGTGGGAGTCTCTGGTCCCTGGGTAGCACAAACGGCTAAGCACTGACTACTAGCCAAAAGGTTGGAAGTTGAACCCACCCAGAGGTGCCTCAGAAGACAGACTTGGCGATCTGCTTCCGAAAGGTCACAGCCTTGAAAACCCTATGAACCCTATGGAGCTGTTGTACTCTGCACACATGGGGTTGCCAAGAGTCACTGTCGACCTGGTGATAACTAAGAACAACAAAGTTATGTAAGTAGAGTGTGGAAGTTCTGTTTGCAGAACTGAAAAAAAATGAAAAACCAAACCCATTGCCGACGAGTCAATTCCGACTCATAGCAACCCTGTAGGACAGATTGGAACTGCCCCACAGGGTTTCCGAGAAGCAGCTGGTGGATTAAAATTGCTGACCTTTTGGTTAGCAGCCGAGCTCTTAACCACTGTGCCGCCCTCTAATCGTGATGGTCGGTCCTGAGCAGAGACATCAATGAACTACAAAGCGTTTTTTGTGGCCTCTGATGGCAGTGACTCAGTGCTGCTCATCCCACCCGCTTCCAATAGCCCCCTGCTGTCTCTGGCTCCTCCACACTCAGAGCACCGTGTACCTCTAGCTTCCTTCCCCCATCAGCATCCTTCCTGCCCATCCCTTGGCTAATTCTTTCCAAGTAGTTCTGTTCTCTCCTGCAAGGACTGAGCCCCAGTTTATCAGAGAAACAATTGCTCTGAAGTGTTTTATTACCTAGTGATTTTCTCTTCTTACATCGGAAGATTTAATTTTTAAACCAGTAAAACTATGAGATCCTTACATGGTTACCTGAATCTGTTATATTTCTGGGAGATTTGCTCTCTGAATCACCCACCAGAGTTACTTAGTTCCCACCTCCACCTCGAGCACATTCCCAAACCCCATTCAGCTTTTATTTACGGTTCCATCAATTCATCTTCAGGTTTGTTCTCCCTGGTGACACAGCAGTTAAGAGCTTGGGCTGCTAACCAAAAAAGATCCGCAGTTCGAATCCACCAGCCGCTCCTTGGAAACACTGTGGGGCAGTTCTACTCTGTCCTATGGGTCGCTATGAGTCAGAATCGACTTGATGGTGATGAGTTTGGTTTGTTTTTTTTAGATATCAAGTACACTTGCATAAGGAACATTAGCTATAAAAATGATATACACAGTCTGCCTGGTTGGCTATTAAATCAAAGCCTTTTAAAACTATCAAAGCTAAGATCTTATTGCTTATATATGCTGTGAAGATCTGTTAATGTTACTTAAATGTATGGTCATGTTTGCTTATCTTTCCAGCTTACAAGCAAGATGTCAATTGAAATTTGAACTAAAGTTGTCTTGACCCCATAAATTTAAATAACTGTCGGTGAATTTTATACTTGAAAATTGTTTATCTGGCCACTCATTGGTAAATGGTCCATTTTTGTCTGTGCCTGAAAAGATCATGTATTTCTTTTATTTATAATATAGTTATTGAGTTTTATTATTCTGAAAGGAACGCAGGTGGCACAGTGGTTAAGTGCTTGGCTGCTAACAGAAAGGTTCTGCTCCACAGAAGAAGGACGTGACAGTCTGCTTCTGTAAAAATTACAGCCTTGGAAACCCTGTGGGGCACTTCTGCTCTGTCCTGTAGGGTCACTATGAGTCAGAATCGACTTAAAGTCACACAACAACATTATTCTGAAGGTGTTTTTTCTAATCACCAAAATGCAGGCTCTTTCTGAGCCTCCAAGTTGACTTCTCCCTTCTCCCACAAGATTATGAGGGTGATTTTTAGAGATTTATTTTGCAATAGAGAAGTCCTGGTGGTGCAGTGATTAACCACTTGGCTGCTGACCTACAGGTTGACAGTTTGAACTCACCAGCCACTCAGCTGAAGAAAGATATAGCAGTCTGCTTCTGTAAAGATTCCGTTGCCATCAAGTTGATTCCAATTGATAGCAACCCTATAGGACAGAACAGAACTGCCCCATAGGGTTTCCAAGGAGCAGCTGGAGGATTTGAACTGCTGATGTTTTGGTTAGCAGCCGAATGCTTAACCACTGTGCCAGATTACAGCCTTAGAAACTCTATGGTGCAGTTCTACTCTGTCCTATAGGGTCTCTATGAGCTGGAATCAACTGTTCGGCAATGGGTTTGTTGTTGTTTTGGTATTTTGCAATAACACCAGAAGAACTTCCTCTCTTACTGATGTGCTTCGTCAAAGCCAGTAGGTAATGTGTTTGAGTATTGCTTTTGACATGCACAGGTGTTGAGGAAGGAGGGGGTGGCCCTTTGGTGTAATGGGTCCTGTTTTAGAAGTTCACCTCCTGGGGCGACTGTATTTTTGGGTGGTGACATTTCTCTCAAGGACAATGAAGAGAAAGGTAATTAAGTTTAATAGAAACTCCTGTGTTCTATGGCGACCCTTCATTTAAAAAAAGTGCAGGGGTAAGTCATTAAGGATAATGAGAGAGTTGATTCCTAAACAAAGACCCGGTAGCTGCATTTTTCAGACAGTGTGGGTGGGAAGAATGCTTTTATTTTACAAGTCAGTTTCTTAACACTTGTGCTCATCTAACACACACATTCGCATTAAGTCAGTATACAGCAGACTCCCAGGAAACATCTGTCATCTTCTTTACGTAAATATAGGTCCTTTCTGGCACCATCAATTTATCCACAAATGGAAGTTTTCCCCTTGTCTTGATGTTAAAAGAAAATAAATAAGAATAAATCTTAGCAAAGGAGGTACTCTAAACCAGTGGGTACTCAAAACAAGTGTCCAACAGGATTATAAATAATCACCAGTCTTCACAGCAAACATCTAAACGATGGCAATGCGAAGGGCATGAGTTTTGGTGAAGGACTGAGGACCCTCCTCTTTACTTTTGACACTGTCTCGTTTTGCTCTATTCCCACGTGCTGGAAACAAGCTTAGATGTGCCCTTTCTGGATTCCGGCCCTCTCAATTCAAAATTATTTTTTATCCTTCTTTTAAAATTTTTGC